ATAGATAAATTAGGAAATTTATAATTTTGGTAATTTTGAATTAAAATTTTAATACAAGGACGTTTTAGGTATTTTCTCTCCTCTCTCCGTCCCTCGGCCACCATAGGGGTGTTCGCGGTCCAGTTTGGACGGTTTAACCCCTCAAACCACAAACACAATCGTAATGACGGTTTATAAAATTTTCAAACCGAGTGGTTTGACATCAAGTGCCCAGACAGGTCAAACCAGACCACGAAAAGGCGGTATGGTCTGACCGGTTTAGGCGGTTTGGGCCTTTAATGGACTTTAAATATTAAACTTAAAAAACATATATAATTTAGAATTTTAGATTAAATATCCATTTTAACAAAACAAAATATCTAAACAAATAAATGTAATAATTAAGCAGCTCTTGAGTACAAAGTCGATGCAATCCAAAGTACAAACAAATAAATATATAACATATTAGAAAACAAACAAATTAACAAAGTTACAACTCTACTGTGAGTATTGAATAACAAAATCCACGACTTCACAACTTTCAATGGTTCAATTCTTGAGTCTTGAGTTCTTGACCAAACAAAATAGAAGTCAAATCTAAGTTGGTTGAATCACTTGGTTGATGTCTTGATGATGTACGCCGAAATCAAACCATGGATTAAAAAGATCAATAGATTGATGGAATCTTTGAGGGATTCCAAAATTTGGAAACCGTCAATATCAAATGTGTCGATATGTTCAATGGTTAAATGATTTTAGTCGTCAACTTTGATTACTTTAGATGTTAGACTTACAGATATATTTGGGTCATAGCCAATAAGTTAAAAAAGTTGGGCTTGCTAATATTAAAGTATATATATATATATATGTGTGTGTGTGTGTGTGTGTGTGTACGGTTTGGTCCAAACCGCCCAAAAAAAGTTCCAAACCCCAAACTGGACCGGACCGCCCGGTTTTGCTACTTTTCAAACCAGACCGGACCGCCAGAACGCTTAAACCGCCAAAAACGGTCTGGTTTGACTTGGTTCGGCCGATTTGAGCAGTCCAACGGTTTTTTTGAACACCCCTCGGCCACAGTTCTCCGGTGATACCACAGTGGTATCACAATGCATCTTATATGTGCTTGGGTATCATACTGAGGTCGTTTGTGTGGTCGATCAGAGATGTAACATAGTGATATCACAATGCATCTTATATGTGCTTGGGTATCACAATGTGTCTTTTGTTTAAAGAGTCAATATTTTTAGGTATCATAGTGGTATCACCGGAAACCGAAGGACAGGGGACGGAGAGAGAAGATAGGAAAGAGAAGAGAAAATACCTAAAATGTCCTTGCATTAAAATTTTAATTCAAAATTATAAATTTTCTAATTTATCTATTGATTTGTGGTTGAAATTGGATCTCACGGTTACTACAAACTAGTCAGTTCTCCATTGAATGGGCCCCTATATATATATACACTAGAAGGGTACTCGTGCAATGCAACATGATACATCTCGATTTTAATGTTCTAATTTATTTTTTGTCTCTATCGATGCTATAATACGATTTTATGTGTTTTTAAGAAAGCAATAATGATTTTATTTTGAATAAAATATAAATTTAAAAAAAATATATCGATGTTAATATCAAATCAACTATTTAAAAGTTCTCATTTTTTATGTAATTTTTTTAATTTTTTTATTATAATTTAATTTAAGTTTAATAATGAAATAATTTATTTTTGATTTAATAATATAATATTTTATAAGGATAATAGTTAAGTTTCTGTTGGAACTCAATGATTATCTTAATTATATTTTAGATTTTTTATCCTTATAAATAAGATCTTTATCATGTATTTGATTATGTTTATCTACAGTTAGTTACACGAATTCAGGTATGAAGCTTTAATAAGTTGTACTTACGCATAATCTACTTGTAATCTTGAGTTTTAAGTAACATGCATTATTAAGCAATACTTTATGCATAAAAAATGATTTTTAAGAGTTTTTGTCAAATGTTTTATAATATAGTATAGATACACACACACACACACACACACACATATATATATATATATATATATACTTGGGATCATGTGAGATAAGGTTGCTTTCATGAGACACGTGAGACAACATTTCTACACTTGAAACTTCACAGCAAAACACTGTGTAAGTAACCTTCACAATGTTTTTGCTGTGAACGTTCGGCCTTTCTTTACCTTCACCACATTTTGTTATAAAATTTCAAGTGTAAAAATATTGTCTCACGTACCACACGTGTCTCAGGAAAATAGTTTTGTCTCAAGTGAACCCAATCCTATATATATATATATATATATATATATATATATAGACATGTTCTTTTGTTAAGCCAATAATTGATGTTAACTTTGTGAACCAATATTGGTCCTTGATTCTTAAAATCTATGGATGAGATCAATTGTGACATATTTGTAATAGTTAAACATGAACGATATCAAAACATAGGTGAACAGAGGTATTTTTGGGAGAGATGTCCAAATCGATTACAAATCAATAATTAATTAATTACATATGTTACAAACCGGTAATTGCCCATTCTTTTTATAGTTCATAGAATTATCCATGATACATGAACATTGATGAACACACAAAAACATACGCTCCATGCTTATGATTGAACATAACTGTTGATCTTCGTCATACTACAAAGGTTAACATAAGGTTCATCAAAACTGAAAACGCCATAACGTTGAATACAATTGCATGTTGTTTACAATTCAAATAATGCTCGATTGGTTACCAAGAAGTATGTTCAATATGTTGTATTGTGCCACCTTTCAAGATGTTGATGTGAACGTAACTTCATATTGGTGAACAGACCAATATGTCTACCCCTTGGAAGTAGTGAACGTCATATTGGTGAACACCCCAAATGTTATTGATCATGTGCAAATGCATCGACATTGTTAATAATAATTAAACCAAATAAGTGAACATATGCATGCACATTTTTAACGTCTGCCATGTTAGTGCACAATTTCTATGTGTGCTGAACATTTATGTTCACACCTAATGAATAGCCATTTCCAAAAATGTTAAAGATGAACATGATGGAAGTACTCATAATAAGGTGTTCATTACGTCCATTTGAATGAAAAATACTTATCAAGAATGAAAAATAATACTGATAATTAATCGTTTGAAACTGTAACATTTTTTTAATAATATACAGAAAAACAATAATTACGTCATTAGTATTGAATCTCATGATTGTTCAATAACATCATTTGCATATCATTATACAACATAAAAATCAATAAAAAATTATTTCAAAAATTACAAACAATACATTAAAAAAAATGAAACGGTTGACTTTGAATTGTTTGTTGGGATTCCGTTGTGTCTCCATTGTTCATAGTGGACTCTCCATTGGTAACATATCTGGAGTGAACATCATCAACATTTAGGGAGGATTTGATTGACAATATATGGTTGCATCGGATGGTCCATCCATTAGAAAGAATATACCAAAGAAAAAGCCTGGGCAGATGGTGATTGTGTAGTTGTTGAAGCTCTATTGGGTGCTCATTAAGAAAACTTTCATTTGTCAACGACATCCATCATAATATGTTAAACACCATACAAATTTGAAAAGAGCCAAATTTAGGAACAATATAACTCTCATATTTTGTAAATATATTCTTACTAATTTGCCCCTACTTATTATATTATTTAACCACAGATTAATGATTAATGAGCAGCATAGAATTTCGCAAGTAGGGGGCGACAACTAAAGAGGTAGCAAGACTGACCGCAATTGCAAGTATAGGTCGAGAATCTTTCCTCAGGGGCACGGAAAGGGTCCAAGTCATAGGAAAGACATCAACTTGAGCGCAGAGGAGGGGAAGGTAAATTTCGATAAGAGTCGGTGCTTCTTCTACGTGTAATGTGGTAGTTGGGCCTACCCACCCTATTTGTTCCGTGATCTATGGGTTTACGGGATCAAATTTGAGCCAAAAGTTAAGGAAAAGACACCAGGATTACAAGCCATGATCTAAAAAGTGCCATGTTTTCCACATCAACAATTCACCTTCATCGATAGTCAATTTATCTTTGTCATTTCTACTAAAAAAAACTAAAAATGATTGGTTTCTTGAACACTAAAATAAACCCAATTTTAACCGCACATCAAAAACATTAAAAACATTTTTAATAATAAAATAATATTAGAAGGGTACTCGCACAATGCAGCGAGATACATCTCAATTTTAGTATTTCATTTTTTTGTCTTAGGGGTTGTTTGTTTACCTCTTAATAGTTTCATTAAGAGATGAATCTTGTTTGGTAAAAAAAAAAAGGTCTGCCTATAGTGGTTCTAAAACCCTATGAATGATTTTGTATCATGGGTCTCTCTTAACCATTAAAAGCCCTAATTTCAATGTAAACAATTATCAAACAATTATATTTTATTTTGTACTATATCATGATAACCTCTTAATCATTCTGTACCAAACCATTCAGCAACTACTAAACAGTCCCTTAGTCAATGTTATAATACAGTTTTATGTGGTTTTGAGAAAGCAATAATGTTTTTATATGTGAATAAAATACAAATATGAAGATATCATAAAAAATTATTAATATTAGTAAAGACTAACTATTTAAAATTTCTTTTTTTGTGTATTTTTTTTATTCATTTTTTTTTTATTTTCGGTTTAGTAATATAATTTTATAAAAATAATAATTAAGTATTTTATGAGAATACAATAATTATCCTAATTATATTTTAGTTTTTTTATATATTTAAAATGAAATGTTTATCCTCTATTTGATTATGTATATCTGAAGTTAGTTACACGGATTCAAACATGAAGCTTTAATAAGTTATATTTACATACAATTTGTCTTGAATTTTAATTAGTAATATATATTAATAAATAATATTTTATACATGGTTTTTAATAATTTTTTTGTGATACACATGTTTTGATATGGGAGAAAGAGATGGGAAAAGTGCAAGTCAAATCATGATGGATTCTTTGCAGGGTTGATGACCCAAACTCATCCAAGTACCAACAACCAACTACTACTTCTTTGTAGTACTACAATCATATCATCTTCAATATTCAACCAAAGGATTGAATAACTGATGAAAACAAACCAATCAAAGAAAAATCATTACAATTGTTTGGTGATATCATGAATCAATGGCAACCAAGCTACCATCCATCCATCAGAAACAGCTCCTGGGAATCACCAGGCCGGAAGCCGAGCCGTGGACGTTTTCGCAGGTCGTAGTCGTAGCTCGATTCGGAGTGCTTAGTCTCACGTTACGCATCCGGATCCCTCTGCACGGGTTGCTCAAGCTGCATTCAAACCTCACGGCTTCCACCGTTGTTGATGTTCCTTTTATGTTGCTGTATCTCACGTTGCTCACTTCGACTCCTGATGTCTGCATCATGTGAAACCTGTTAGATTAAGATGACCCTTTTTATGAAATGTATAAACACAGGTTTGTGGGCTCGATCAGTACCTCACGCGGGCATCGGTTACTTGGGCAGTAAGTCTGGTCGATGATGATCGGGTTGTCCACAGCCCTCATTATTATGTTCCTAAACTCGATATTCGTTGCGTAACTCTTACTGTCCCTTGCCCACGACTTTATTCGAACACCATTTTGAGTTTTCGTGAATATCGTGTTGCGAACCGTCACGTTTTGCACTCCGAGCTCGTTCAAACTGTTCCCCAAGCTACCTATGCTGCAACAGCCATGGTCGAACCATGTTAGTTACGGGTGATAATTAGATCATAAGGAAAAGTTCACTTAGAAGCCGTATTGGTTCACATGTTCTCAAAATATTAACGTTTATTTCTTGTGTTTCCGGAGTTTATTACCTTATACCGTGGCCAGGGCCACAAGCGATCTTCTCGATCAATACGTTCTTGGAGCCAGGCCCGAGTGCAATGCAATCGTCCCCGGTCTTAATCAGACTGTTTCTGATCGTAACACCAGTCGAGGATTGAATAATGAACCCATCCGTGTTGGGGCTTCGGCTCGGGGCTATAATGCTCATATGTTCGAACCGTATATTGCTGCATTGGCTCACGGCAACATGAATGGTTTGGCTGTACAATGACTTTAGTCCACTCACCACCACATTATTCGACCACATGAACGATATCGACTGCATGCATGCAACATTAATTTAACAATGGAAACACTTAGTCTGTTGAAACCATTATATATATATATATATATATATATATATATGTATGTATGTATAATGTATTATATAGATATGTATACTCACCCTTACTCCAGCCGGACAGTTGCTGCCAGTTCTCCGACAAACCCAGAACTGTGAACCCCTTGCATCAATGGTTCCGCCATGGACGGTTAACCTTGAAACTTTAGTGAACAGTATCCAGAAGCCGGAGTTTCCCATGGCCTGATAATTTGGTGGAGCAACAAGTTTACCGTCGATCTGGAACAGAATCCTGCTCCGGCATGGTCCACTGAACACGACGGGTCTGGTCATGTAGGTGCCTCTGGGAATGTAAACCGTGGACGAAGCGGTCGAACCACAGGCAGCCCTCCACGCCGCTTCAAGGGCTTTGCTCGAGTCAGTCCGGCCATCGGCTCTGGCCCCAAAACGAACCACATTGTAAGAAGCTGCATTACAAGAAGATTGAAAGAGTGATAACAGGAAGTATATGAATGCAGTTCTTAGGATCTGGCTGCCATTGGAAGCCATGGCAGATGAAGTTATGAGTTATAGGGAGGTGTGGGTAGAATGTATATATAAATTTGAAGGTGATGGGATCGGAGAAAGAAATCAAGAAAATGGAGGTGGATTAATGAGGAGGGTATTGGGAAGCATGTAAATATGAATAGTTTAAAGAAGAATCCCGAAAAGAATGCATCTAAAATTTAAGTTTTGTGCAGAGGATGACTTGTAAACACATGCATTGAAGATAACAAGCATTGTACGGTATGAACATGGTTTTGAGTGTTGAGGCATTGCCATGTGACCTAAATCACATATCCTCATTTGTTTTAATTAAAATTTAAATGATAAACCATAAGGGTGGTGCTTGATTGGTTTGAGCTTGATTTGAAAAGTTAAAAGTATCTGAAGATCTCATGTTCAAATCCAAAGAGAAATAAAAATCCTCTTGTGACCACGAAGATATGGTCGCCCTGGGATTAGTCGGCTCGCATAGCGGGTTGAATATTCAGGTTAATCAAAAAAATAATAATTAAATGCTAGGGTTTATAAAAGCATATAATTCCTGTTTAATTTTAATAGTTTTTCTATTTTAAAAATTACAATATTAATTATTGTTTGGGTGACATTTCATAATCTCGACTGTCGAAGATATTATCTTTGACAAGACAACTTTCCTCGGTTGAATGTTATCATCTCGGACAACTGTAAATGTGTCCACGATAAACAACCATCGGTAATCAAGATCTTAGTTAATTACTTATCTCCAATTAACACTAATTAATAGATGTTTATCGTGGGCAATTATCATCTTTCTTATTTATTGCAAGTCTTAAAGATTTATGAACGGGGTTCATGTCATTTATTCACCCGACGACCAATATTTAGTTACTCCATCAAACATGACCATTATCTCCATAATGACAATTAAAAACAACGGTTATCCAAGCTACCTATATATAAAAGGGTTCAGGAGCATTATATACTTATATATACACGTTAAAATTTGACTAAACATTAGATGCTCTCTACATTATCTTTGTTCTATATATATAAAGTGTAGTTAATTTTACGTTTTAACCACAAAGAATATATATATATATATATATATATATATATTGAGAGAGATGAGTTATTATACAACATTTTACTTTTGTACAACTAATACAATTCAATCTCAACTATCCATTTAATTTGGTGAATATATGATTTCATAAAATTTTAAATTGTTTCGTAATATAAAGTATTGATAAATACCTCAATTAATGAAGTTACATTGGTTTATACCAATGGATATGGTTATATATATAGAGGGATGTTATTCTACACCCTTTGTCATTCCTACACCCTATACAACCCTCATCTCAACCATTCAATTTTTAATCAATTAATTGTTTCCTAATATAAACTATTAATCATAATTAATAAACTCTATTCATATTCCATAAATATTAAAATCATAATAAATGAACTCCAATCATTTCTATAAATATCTCAATTAATTGGGTTGCAAAGATTGTACAAATGTACAAGGTTGTAAAAGAAATATACCCTATATATATATATATATATATATGTATATATATATATATAATTAACTATTAATATACCATAAATGAAGGTATTTATGGTTAATTTGTTGAAATTTAAGATGGTGAGTTCAAAGCTGTTTTATAGTAAATTTAGGAAGAATTAGACGTGATGGCGTCTATATAATATATTAATTGCAGAAATCTGAAATAGACGTAATATAATATAATATTAATAAATTAAAGACTTAAATTTTGACGTATGCAATTAAGATGAAGGAGAATCGAAACATTAATGTAGGCCTGAAAAGAAGGCATCGAAGTCGGCTAAAACACCTCCCAATCCATGTTTCAGGGTCATGTGCATGACTCCGCCGTCTATGGATCCCCATTCCTACGTTTCTTCTATTAATCATACGCAAATTTGACTTCTACGCTTTATCTAACCCTATATATTATTAAAATTATGTTTTATATATTTTAGATTATACCAAAAGCATAATCGCGCAATGCAGTGAGATAAATCGTGATTTTAATATTTTATTTTATTCTTTATCTCAGTCGATGGGTTCAAAAATCCGATGGGTATCTATTTAGTAAAAAACAATGTATCTTCAATGTAATAATAATAAGTTGTAACTATAATAATCATCAATATCGAAAATCAAATATATAATAATTACCAATATCGAAAATCAAACATGATCCATGTTAAATTACTTCACTATTAATGATGATACGTTATTCACGATGAATAACCCGGGAAGGTGTGAGACACGTGCCCCGGTTCACAACCGAAAATCGGTTTTCAATTGAACTTGCCCTTATGTACACATAATATAAATATATATTAAATAAAATAAAAAATTTAATGAGGGTCGATCCGATTGGGGGCGAGTAATGTCATCCCCGATCCCGCTTCGAAATGAAATTAAATCCCCATACCCGCCAAAGTAGGGAATCCCGCCCTAGGGGCAAAATTTCTATTCCTAAATCCAAGTATAAATGATTAATGTGCCTCGTCTCTCTTTTCACGTTTATTTTTCCAAGGTTTGAACTTAAGCCTGATAGAATATCGTCCATTTAGATATTTTCCATGTCAATAATCAACTTTTATCTCTCCGAGCATCTTCAAAATGGAGAAAATATCTCAATAGTCAACTTTTATTCTTCTGCATTTTTCTTCTCTAGCAAATATCTCAATAATCAACATTTATCCCTCGAAGTAGGGGTATACAAAAAACTGTCAACCCGCGAAACTCGTCCAACCCAACTTGTCTAACAGCCAAACCGCACATCCGCCAATTAGGAGGGTTGAAATTGGATTGGGCCTAGCTCAACCCGCCCAATCCGCCACTAATATGTAATTTTTATAAGATTATATATATATATATATATATATATATATATATGTTTATTATGTATATATATGTTAATAATGTATAAATTTTATATAATTTTTATTGATATTATGTTTTATTTCATTTTTGCTAAACATATAGGTTACCAAAAGAGATTCACGATTAAAGAGTGAGGACAAATAATCTAATTAATTAGGTAAATTATTGAAATCTTTTTTGCAGCAACAACAAATTGATATGTTGGAGAATATGAATGATATTGATAGATATTCGGTTGACGAATCCATCAATCTAAATACCTCATCATTTTATGTAGTACTTTATTGGAAAGAAAATGTTTAGTTATAGCATTTTGCTACAACTACATTAGAACTTATAGATGCCTAAAATGTCTAAGCATCTAAATATGACATTTTACAGGACGAAACAAAAAAATGTCTTATCTAAAAGAGTTACAATATGTTAATAGGATGATTTTGTGTGTTTTAACAAATTCTATGACGCTTTTATAATAAAGTGTCGTATTAGTTATTTTATACGACACAACTTGAAAAAATGTCATATGAACATAGGTGTCCTATAAATAGATGAGTTTACGAAACACTTTTCAAAATGTTTCTATAAAATAAATAATACGACATTTTTTTAAAAATCATTTTAAAACACTTGTTGAAACGGTCAAAAACGCCTATAAACCTATTGTAATTTTTTTAGATACGACGCTTTATAGTATCGTTTATAAACTTAAGTTTTATGAATTATTTCATTCGTCAAATTTATGTAACTACTAACCCGCCAACCCAACCCAACCCAACCCACCCAACCCGCAAGGATTGGGTTGGGTTGAGCTTTTTTTCAAATCGCCATAAGTGGGTTGGGTTGTAAAAATGTTGTAAACCGTCCAATCCAACCCACGTACCCTCCTACCTCGAAGCGTCTCCAAAATGAAGAAAACGAGGATTTAGGCAAAAAGAAATTGCTCCAAAGTATTTTTCAAAACTTTCTTTAAAATAGAGAAGTAGGTAGAGGGAGTGAAATTTTCCGAATCTGGATGACCTTCAAAATAATTATCATGAAAGAGCAAAACATTTTTTTATATTCCATCAATAAAAACTTTAAAGTTAAATGTTTAAGATTAAAAAAAAATACAATTTTATTAACTATACGAAATATTTTAATAATATAATTAATGTTGTCATCTTCAAAATAAAGAAACCGTTACAGTTAAATGTATTTTATATTTTTGATATTTTGTATTTTGATTCTCCACTATGAATGAAAATATTGGAGAATCTATATATTGGAGATGCTCTAAAAAAAAATACTAGGTATGACAACAGGGCGGAGAATACAATCCTCCGTCCTGGTTCCACTATCCCGTTCCCGGCCCCGACCCCAGTCCCTCGTGGGTATGGGGAATCGATTCCCATCCCCAAACAGTCAATTACATGTTAAACAATAAATGGTTCAAATGGGATGCATTAATCTACCCGACTCGAGTAAAGACGTGCTAACTTTTTCATTGATGTACAACTAAACCTTCTTCGTGAAAAGAGATGCATTAGAGACAAACGGGATCTTCTCTAAATTGTCCATTCTTCTTATCTGTAACATACACAATGGTCATTCCTCTTAAAAATGTTCATGATTACAATGGAATTTAGCAGCATTTGAATTTGAACTCAAGATAGATAAGATTTTCCACTATATTCTCTAATGCTTAAATAATACGCCATGTGATTTACCTTATTGTGCGTCCAACAAGAACAAGGCAAGGACCCCCCAACTTGATATTCTGATTGTTAATTGGTCCATTTGTAGCACACACTAATATTTTCGTTTGAAATATAAAATATAAAAATTATACATCTTGATAAATTAGTAAAAAGTCAACTGAAATTGACCTGAATAAGTTATCATTATTCGGTTAATTGAACCGTTTAAGCTGAAAAGGAAAACTCAAAACCGTTTTCATCCGGATGAATTATTTGGTTTAGAAAGAAAAATTCTACACCCCTAAATATGTCCTCAACTATAAATATTTCTGGATCCGCCACTACTTGTTAGAATATTACATTCTATTTAATGATACTAGTAAGAAATATAATACAAGGTTTTTTTAAAAGTGACAAGATAT